GTCAATGCTACAGTGAGTGCCCACTGCTCTGAGCTGGGGGTGGGGGGCAACCAGGCCTACCAGCTCACTTTCAATGCCACAGTGAGTGCCCACTGCTCTGGGCTGGGGGTGGGGGGCAGTCAGGCCTACCAGCTCACCATCAATGCTACAGTAAGTGCCCACTGCACCGGGCTGGGGGTGGGGGACAACCAGGCCTACCAGCTCACTGGCAGTGCCACAGTGAGTACCCACTGCACCAGGACTGAGAGGGGGCTTCTCCTTCCCTCCCTCCCACCGTCCCAAGTGACCATGGCTTAGGTCCTGGCCAGGCCAGGCTCTGGAGTCGTGGTGCCGGATGGGTAAGGACAGGGACCGCAGCCAACATGACAGAGGCCCCTGCTGGTTTCCTGGCAGGTGCGGATGCCCCCATGGACTGTCTCCGTTAAACCTCCAAATGCCCTGTGCCCTCAGAGCGGTTAAGATGCCCACTCAACAAGGGAGGAAACTGAGGCATGGGGAACAATCCAGTGACAGCATCTCAGCCCCAGACCCTGCACCCCCACAGGGCAGGCCCAGGCTGGAGCACCCTCTTGTTCCCTAGGACACCGGATGAAGCGGTCAGCCCCAGCTGTGCCCTGACATCACCAAAATGAAGGGGCCAGAGGTCCCAAGAGCCCTGTCCTTCACTAGAGAGGGACGACACCTATGTGGTCAGGTGATACCAGTCAGGAGAGGGTTGTCCCCATTGTGTGGAGGGCACTGTTGAGACTTAGGGCATCAGGCAGTCTGACTCACAGTCCAGTCATGGCTCCAGCCACCGTGGTCCTGGGCCAGGAAACTTTGAGCCCCAGAGCTTCACAGCTGTCTGAGCTGGCTCTGAGGGCCTCGGGCCATGGAGCCACCTCCTAAGCAAGGCCTTGCTACTGCCTGCTGCCTCGGGGCGCGACTGGAGCCATCAGCTGCACCAGGGTGAGAGTGGCCTGCTGTCACTGAGGTTTCTATTTGCAAAGCTCAGGCCAAGACCTTAGTGAATGGCCCCTCTAGGGTCGTTCTTCCTTGAACCCAGGTGGGAGGTGTGCTGACAGACCCTTGGGGGGCGGGGTGGGGGGGACACTGGACAGTGTGAAAGAAGGGATTCTACTTGGCACCATGCAGGGCCTCCATCCAGGAGCCAGAAAAGGCAGACCTGCTGCTGTGTGCAGTTCCAAGGCTCCTGGAAAGGGCTCTGCAGATGGTACCCACTCTTCTCTCCCCCCTGGTTAAAATCTCAGCCCCCCCACCCCGTGAAAGGCCTCCCACCCTGGTTAAGTCCTCTCCCCACTGGTTAAGTTCTCTCTCCCCTGGTTAAGCTTTCTCCCCCGCTGTTAAAGGCCTCCCCCCTGGTTAAGACCTCTCCCCACTGGTTAAGTCCTCTCCCCCCTGGTTAAGTCCTCTCCCCACTGGTTAAGTCCTCTCCCC